CATTACAGGGAAGGGGGGGGGGGGCACAGCGGGGCTGGCAGCTTGAAGAGAAAGCAAAAGTGTGTGTGTGTGTTAAAAGGACGCTGTCAAAAAAGTCAGGCCTAGAAAGCGACCTGCTCTGAAGATGACAAATATCTGTGGCTAAATGCAGTGCTTTGACAAAGTGGGGCTTTGCATACGAAAGCAAAGGTCTAATTAAATATGTTAGTCTTCAAAGTGCCACAGGACGCCTCACTCCGAAGAGGGTACGGGTTAGAAGATTGTACAAACGGCCCCATCTCACTGCTTCGTGCGGGTATTTGGAATCAGATCAGCCAGATGGACAAAAGTACGCACTCTCTTGAGCGCCTCTTAGCCCTGCAGAGCTACTAGAGGTAGCTGGGTTCTACTCTGGCTTGTGCATTAGCTGAAAAGTCATGAGCTAAGTAGTGACTGGTGAAGCCATCTTCTGCCCAGGTAAAAATCTGAAGGAGGAATTCGCACACCCTAGAGCCACCTCTGGGTCTCATCTTGGTGAGCCATCGCCATGGTACCAACTGCCCCTCCCAAGGATTCCCTGGCTGTCTCCCCAGGTTGTGGGCTCCACCATGGGGCTGGGAGATCATGCCTTAGCCCCATTTTAACCTGGGGGCAAGGCAAAAGTAAGATAGCACAGCCGGAGGCTCTTTTGAGAAACCTCCTGTGCCCTGGGCAGCATCCCTGCATAGCAGGAAGCTCCATGGGCATCTGCCAACTTGGGCAGCAGCATAGCGCAAGGTAAAAGAAATCGGGCAGGTGCTGCTTTGTGCTCGGAGCAAGTCTGATGCCCACACAGCTGTCAGGACATCTGCAAGTTCTGCGGCAGAACGTCTTCCTTCAAGATGAGCCTCACCCAGTTTTCCTTCCCTGTCCTTTGGTTTTCCCCTCAGAGGCAGGAACAGTTTGAGGAAGGCTCTCAGGTTTGTAGCGAATGCCCCATTAAGAACAACAGCCCAGTCTCTGATCTCATTTAGGGTACATCTACATTGCACATTAATTTTGAACTAAGCTATTCCAGGATCGTTATTCCAAAATAGCTTGTTTTGAAGTAGCACGTCTACACGGCAGGGAAGCCTCAAAATTAGTCTGAGGCAGGCTTCCCTAATGTAGACGCTCTATCTCGATTTAGCGCCCCAGGAGACACTGGGGAGGAATAACTTAGAATGGCTCTGGAGAGGGGGTATTTCAAAATAGCAGCAGTGGAGTGCCTACGCACGCCTTATTTCAAAATAGCTATTTCACAATAGGCAATATTCCTTGTAGAATGAGGCTTACAGATTTTGGAATAAGCCGCCCGTTCTTTTGAAATTACTTCAAAATGATGGAGTGGCTGTGTAGACGCTCACATTGTTATTTCTGAATAACGGCCGTATTCTGAAATAATGCTGCTATCTAGACACACCCTTACGCTTTAAATCTGGTAAATTTATAGGTGACCCGGCCTGTCTCCATGGAAAGCTGATTTACACCGGCCCTGTGAGACTGCACTGTTTTTATTTCAGCCTCGCTGAATGCATTGCATTCATTATCTTCCCTCCTCAGATTCAGTTACTGGGGATTTCATAGCATAACTTGCCCTTCAGCAACAGTCCCTGCAAACTTCCAGCTACATTAGGCTGATCAATCTGTGTGATGGAAATATGTGTTTGAATTGCATGTTAAAGCTGGCGAGCACTCATGACTACATGTACTGTTATATGGGAAGAGATTTAACTTCTCCTAAGGGCAGAGCCGGCTTTCAAAACGCAAAGTACAGAGCACTTCCAATTGCATATGTCTTATTTCGGCACTAATACCGCAGCTATTTAAATGCAGCAGTAGCCGCATTTGTGTTAAGTTAGGAGGATAAAATTGGATTGGAATTGGATACCTGTCACTCAGACATGTCATGTGTGTCATTATTTCACACCTTACCAATGTTGAATTCCGTGGTAACTATAGAGTGACTGTTCTTACTTAAGCCAAAAGCATGTAAATGCTTCATAATTGATGTTACATTAAAGTGAAATTAACGACTTACATTCTGTTATGTTTGCAACGCAGAAATACCAATGGATCTGGGTGTTATGAGAAGGTGGCAGTGAGCTTGGACCATAAGCCGTGTGTATTCACAATATAATAGCCATCGGTAAAGTGCAGCTGTCAGTAATATGGGTCTTCATATAGTTATGGTGAATTGCCAGTAATAGCATGCTGTGTAGTCTGGTGCTAGAGGGAGTGTTCTGTAGTGATTAAAGCAGTGAACTGTGAGTTAGGACTCCGGGGTCCTATTCCAAGCTCTCGAAGGCAACATCCACTACTGAGTAGACCAGGGATGGGCAGTCAGGACTTGGTTTGCTGTGTGACCTTGAGCAAGTCACCTCACCACCCACTGCCTCAGTTTCCCCATCTATGAAACAAGATGAGCAATACTCACCGGCATTGGAGTGAATGAGGCCTAATAACTCAGTGTGTGCAATGTGACTTGACTTCCTCAGACAAAACACGCTCTTCTGGAGGACTAGAAATCCTGATGATGTCGAGCCATCTGATTATTAAAAACATTTTAAAGACACAAGTCATTATTTTATTCAACTGCATGTTTTATTAGTTCCCCTTAGATTTTTTTTTTTCTCTTTTGAAACGCTTTACAGATGTAGGTGTACAGAAGCGTCAACCTATTGTCTAGAAAGCAGCATCGCTCTGCTCTTCTGGTTCTGAGGACATCAGTTAACTATAAAGAGGAAAGAAACATGCTTACATTTTGATTCAGTCCTTTGGAGGAGATAGAGATATGTTTCCACCCTTTCATAAGCCACATATGTAATGCCCAGTCCTTTATACACAATGCTCTGTCCTGTCCTTTATAAGCCTTGTGCAAATCTATATGAGACCCATGTACAGTTCCCAATCCTTTACATACAATTCCCAGTCCTTTGCATACAGTTCCCAAAGCTTTGTGTGCAATACCCACCCTCCCCAACTTCCACCCTCACAGAAACTATGCAGAACTGAAACCAGCACAGTTCTGCTGGCTTAGCAAGCCAACACAAAGGGTGGAAGCCCTGTTGCTAGGGTTATTTAAACCTCAACTGGAGACATCCCCAGAGAATTCACTGTAGATAACAAGCCCATTCTGCTCCTCAACCGTGCGTGCATGAATTGACTAAATTACCTACGGTCACAGAATTTTCCGCCTCTAGTTTATACACACTAAGGGCCAGAAGAAGAGCTCAGGGCTAGCTTTTGAATTGCACCACAGCACAACTCAGGGCTGAGTTTAAGAGGTCCGCTCCCATTCAGACACCTAAATAGAGGTCAGGTAAGAGGTTTGCAGAGAGCTCAGCACCTAACCCCTTTGAAAATCTGCCCCAGAGGGCAGGTGCGGATTTCTTTTGCCAATGTGGCCTAATTGCTGGGTGCTGCATTCTGCTGAAAGTCTCACCCTAAATCTTCAGTGGTGTTCTGTAACAGAGATCAGGATCGGGCTCTTGGTTTTGCCAAGTTGTCGGTTCTTGGGGGAATGTTGCTGTGCACACACCATTTACTTAGGGCTGGGTTGTGCAGTCTTTTTGCATCCTCGTGCAGTCCCATTGGTTACAGGGGAGAAGAAGGGGAACTCACATATGCGCATCACAGTGTGAAGAAGAGATGCGTGATCTGGCCCTATTACCTTGCTAAGGCAAACCCCACTGACTTCAGGGCTGAACAATTCACCCTAAGTGAATTCAGTTTCGGTGCCCAGCAACATTCCCCCAAATACCTACAACCTGGCAAAACCAAGAGCCTGAGCCCAATCGCTCTTACACCCCTGTGATCTGAGAGCATTTGCGCCCAAGAGGCGGGAGATCCATGATGTGTAACTGTTCCCAAGAGATGATCCAGGGCCCGTGGAAGAGTTTAGTGGGACTGGGGACAGAAAGGAAAAGCTAAATTGTGGCTGTGCCCTATGCCCCATGCGCAAGGCAGCGCTGAGTTGAGCTTTCCAAGCAGTAGACAGCGAACCAGACTGTGCCCCCTTGTTTCTCTCTCCTCAGTGGAGGGAAGGGCATTGGGTGTCGGGATGGTGAAAGGTCTCACAATTCAGGGTGACTGCACCTGTGTTTCCCCCTTGGGGTCTAGCATGGGCACCCACTCTAGGTTCCCAGCTCCTTGGCCGCCAGCTCTCTTGGGTGCAGAGGCATATCTGTCCCTCCTGACCACCTTTTCTCGGACTGCGCGGTTCCCTGCCTACACTGGGAGTTCCCCAGAAAGTCAGACTGACTGAGCAGGTCTGGTTCGCTTCCCCCCAGAGGCTAAAAGGAACAGCATTGCCCACAGATCGGAGCTACCACACAGCCCTTTCTGAAGGAGCACATTTATTCTTGAGGTGGTAGCATTTCAGAGAAGACATTACCACACTGCAGGAACCTACACCTGCTAATAACCCTGCCAGAAATTACCCCGCCCACCCAAGTCCAACTAGGGCTCCAGGAGGAGTCACCCCTTCCAATGCCACCACAGGGCTTTCCTTTGGTTACAGCTTCAGAACACCTTTTGCTCACAAGAACCCCCTTGAATAGGGTAAGTCCTTCCCACCGTTCCCAGGAAGGACAGGGATGTCCTTGGCACAGACGGTCATAGGGATGTTAAACATCGACTAGTCGATAAGGCACCTTCGCCTCTGAAGTGTAGCAACAGCCCTAGGGCTGTTGCTACACTTCAGAGGCGAAGGTGCCTTATCGACTAGTCGATGTTTAACATCCCTATGACCGTCTGTGCCAAGGACATCCCTGTCCTTCCTGGGAACGGTGGGAAGGACTTACCCTATTCAAGGGGGTTCTTGTGAGCAAAAGGTGTTCTGAAGCTGTAACCAAAGCTTGGGCTGTACGCAGTGCTGCCTCTTTGAAGAACCCCCTTTCCCCTCCCCCTGGCTGCCTCTTTCTGATAGAGGCAGCAAGGCAGGGGAAGCGACTGGTCGATTAGTCCTTCACATCCCTAGAAGGTCCCGCATTACAGCTGGATCAGAAAATAGGGACAGAGACACTTGAAATTCAGGCTATTTATCCCAAAGTCTTTTCTTTGCTGGCCTCTAGAGAATCCGGTCTGAGTCAGTGTAGGTGAGCCGTCCTGGGGGAGGGAGCTCTTGTGACATGTTCCAGCCTAAGGGCATTTGCCTCATGACCTACCCCTGTTCTTAGCTCCTGGAGGGCTTCCTCAGGGAACCATCTATAATCCCGGGCTTACAACAATACATAATATAGGAAGCTCTCCCGCAGATTCACCATCTCTGATACACAGGGGATGCCCCCAGTGGGCTGACAACTGCACTGATCGCACTGTGGGGTGGAGCCAAAGCTGCACTCACATATAGGGGGGACCTAGCAGCCCCAGGGAGGCAACTGTACCCACCACAGTGGAATCCCAGGTGTGAGTAGCCAGCTCAATGGAGTAAGGGGAGGGTCTTGTACCCTCTTTTAGTCCCCTCATGCCACATCTGCACTTGCCATGCTGGAGATCGGTCTTCTGGCATTCGATTTAGCAGGTCTAGTAAGGACCCACTTAATCAAACGCTGAGGGTGCCCCCAGTTGGTGCTGGTACTCCTCGATTCGTGAGGAGTCAGGGAAGTTGATGGGAGTGTTTGCTCCTGTCAAGCTCCCTCTGTGAAGATGGCGCCAAGCTCAGATTCAAGTATATCGACTCCAGCTATGTTATTTACGTAGCTGGTGTTGCCTCCCTTAAGCCAACCTTCCAGGTTGAGTCCAGCTCTAGCCTGAGCCAGCGTGCAGGATGGGTCCCATTCTGGCCTTAAGGGGAGACAGAAACAAGCTCGAAAGCCCAGATCTTCAAAGGTCTTTAGGCACCTCACTCCCACTGATTTCTCCTTAGCTATTCAGGGCACTACCTGGGCTGGCCCAGAATGGGCCTTTCACCCTTCATTCGGCAGAAGGCAGCTCCAGGGCCGGCCCACAACATTTTGGCACCTGAGGCGGGGAGCTCAAATGACACTCCCATGCCCCCTCGCTTGGGCCAAAACTTTGAAAGGTCTCAATTCTCTGGGTCCTAGTGGCACTGCCCCCCCCCTCCCCCCAAACAGTCTGGCACCTGAGGCGGCCGCCTCAGTTCGCCTCATGGTAAGGCCAGCCCCGGGCAGCTCCTCTGTCTGGTTTTTATGCGGACGCTTTTTCAAGCAGCGGGAACAAGGTTCCCAGCCACTGAGGAGGGACATGAACACGGGGCCAAATGAGACGGCTTGGCAATGGTGAGATGTCGCTGTAACACTCGACCACAGCACCGAGTGGACAAGCAGAAGGCAGCTTACTGCTCTTAAGCACAAAGCACGTCCATGGTGGGGGGCAGATGAGGACTCTGTAAAGGGAGCACACAGGACACAGAAACCAGTCCAAGAATATAAATATCACTGGGGAGGGGGAGAGGCACAGCTCAAGTTCCTGATGGTACCATTTTGAGCATCCAGTAGCATCTCAGTTAGCAGCTCCTTCAGGACATGTTGGTATTTCTCCAGCTGCCCAGCACTGTGCCGCATGCTAGTTTCTCCAGGGGCAGTCAGCTGTGAAGGAAAGCAGAGTTAACAAAAAGGGAAACTGAAGGGTGTGGGAAGCAGATAACCAAATTCCCTACTTTACTGATATTGCAGAACAAGGGCTTCTCTGGTGCACAGAATTAAGCGCCACTGTGTGTTAGAGTTTTCCCTGCCAACTCTGTAGCCAGCCACCGAATGTTGTAGCAGCAGGAAATTCTGTCACGTGGTTTGGAATAACGCTGGGTTGGTCTATTCTCCTATTGGGGGCTTAATCCTGCATCATTCAAATCAATGGGCATCCTCAGTATGGTGGATATGGGCATGGACAGGGTCTCTACAAGGGATCAGTGGCCACGAGGGCAGTCCTTGAACTCTTTCATCACTCTTGGGCAGCATTCCCTGTAAGCTGAGTGTTTGGGTGGCCACCCAGGAGAGATTCAAATGCTGCCTAGTTGATTGGCAGAGTGTCCACAGCCAGCAGCTTGTGTTTCTAATGGTGGTGCACATCTGTACATGCCTTGGTGCACATCACAAAATTTATTCTGCACCTGGGTGGAAAAAAAAATAGAGGGGAACATTGCTCTTGGGTTAACAGATCTCCCAGAGTTTCAATCCATTGGGTCACCCAGATATTGTCTTGGAAATTTAGGTGGAATAGGTAGAGCCCTGGAAATCCAGTTTTGTATCCGCATCTGTGGATGTGGATTTGGGTATCTGTGGCTCATTTTTGTGGATGCAGATACAAATGTTGTGTCTAGAATCCTGAAACTTAGCAGATATTGGCTTTATGTCTGTGGACATCCACATCTGCAGATCATTTTTGCAGATGTGGATGTGGATACAATAGGGAAGTTAGCGGCTAGACGGCAAACCGTTTAACCGATAAGGAAGTATTTCTTTAAACAATGCACGGTCAACCTGTGGAACTCATTGTGAGGAGACGTTGTGAAAACCAAAAGCGTAGCTGGGTGCAGAAGAGAATTAATTACATTCGTGGGGGATAGGTCCGACAGTGGCTATTAGCTAAGATAGCCAGGAACACAACCCAAACTCTGGCTGTCCCTAAGCTTCTGATCACTAGATGCTGGGCCTGGATGACAGGAGTCATTTGATGATTTCCCTGTTCTTGGCATTCCCTGGGAAGCACCTGACAATAGTCACAGTATAGTATCAGACTAGATGGCTCACTGCCTGTTATGGTCTAAAACAGGCATTTTCTGCCCCCGAGGCCAACAGTGAAGCTGGGTAGCCTCAAGTTTGTAAACTCAGTACCCCTCTTCAAGATCCTTAGGAATCCAGCAAAGATGCTGGACAATTTACAGGCAATAACAAGCCTATGTTAGTAAATACCTTATCAAAAGCCTGAAGCGGACTTGCAAAATCCTGAGCTGCAGGCAGGTGAAAATTGAGCAGTAAATGAAATATCAGTAGATTTTTCACCATCTCTGTGCCAGGCCGGGCAAGCTGACTTGACAGCTGAGCTACTCCATTTCCAAAGACAATTTCGCAAGGCTGAGGTGCAGCCTGCCCCCATTTTCTGATCTAACCCGGCCGAAGACCTGGCTGTAGTTCGTAGGAATTGGGTAGTAACCCTTTAAGCACTTCCTGTGCTCGCTCACCCTTTTCTATTGCAGAAGCCACCAGAACCTAAGAAAGCAGCAGCGTAAACATGGAGCGAGGCCTCATATGTTTGTCTCTGGTCATCGGGCATTGTTATTGGGCACCCAACTGCGCTCATTGACTCAAGCGTCCCCTCTGCCATGCTCCTCACCGTGACGATCTCGCCCTCGGCCACGCTCTCTGCCGAGAGCTCGGTCACGTCTCCGCTTTCCGATCGCTTCTGCAGCATCAGGGATTTCTTCTGCGCTTTGTTCCTCTCCCTCTCCTGGAGGCAGAGTGGAGAATAAACACCCAGGGTCAGGGGAACCCACATGGAGGGGGTGCGTCTGTAGAGGGGTTGCTCAAGAGAGGGTCTGTTTGCTGTTTGCTGATGCCGATGCTGAATGTTACAAGGCGTATTTTCAGAAAGAGAGAGGCAGGTTTTGGATGGACCATAAGAAGTATTCCCCTCTCACCCCTTGGGGATCCTTGATTGTGATGAGTAGGTGGGAGATGCGAGTTGGACAGACTACCACGGATGATACATTGCAAAAGTCCACATCATTGTACATTCTCTAGGCCTGTACAGAGACACAGCGGGGAAGCTTTCACAACGGCTTCCCATTTCTCGTTAAATTCTCACATTGTTTAACTGGATCCACCTATTTCCCCTCGCCTTCTGACAGTGGTGAAGAATGGCCATGCTCCACCAGCAGCAGAAGTGGCTGCAGGGTCGCTCAGCAGACACTCAGGAAGGAATCTCCACGCATTTCTAGTCAGGGTGAGAAATCCTAGCCCCACTGAAGTATTGTTAATTATTTCAGTGGGGCCAGGATTTGACCCAGGGTCTCTCCAGGATGAAGGACAGGCAGGGATGATGTGGGAAATTTGTCTGTGCTGTGTGAAAACAGACAACAGTCGTTTTCAGGGCTGTCGGCGTGGCACCTTTTCAGCCGCATTAGTTTCACATCAGAAGAAAATTGTCCTCTATGCACATCCCAGAACTGAAACCTATTTGGTGCACAGTTAATTGGTAAAACAAAGAAGCGCAGCTGAATAATGATGGGAGACTACAGCTTCTCCATAAAAATCAGAGCCATTAGCAAGTGTAAAAGAAAATGGGTAAAAAATATCCATGAATGTAAATAACCATGAATGCCTTTTGTTTCCACTATCCTATGTTATGTTCAGCTGGATCCTGGCTCTGACAGTCTAATCCTCAGTCTTGAAGAATGTTTTCCCCTCAAAGTCCTCTGCGGGACTGGTAAATAAAGTGCTCAGTCTTGTAAGTTCCCTTATTGACCACAGCCCAGGACTGCTGGGGGACCTGTTGTGCTGTGGAGAGTCTGTTCTAGCCACATTTTACAGACAGAGATGGACATGAGAGAATTGGTCTAAACCTTGGACCCACTGAGAGCTTTACGAAGGGACCAACTGCCCCTTCAATAAGTGTTGGCCTGAGATCCATCTCCCCTTGAAAGCCCCAGCTGAAAAGCATGGCTCTTCAGGGAAACACGTACATTTGTGTTTAAAGTTAAGCCCAAGCTTATATGATTTCCTGAACCAGGGCCAAAGTCAGCACTCTGAGGGCATGTCTACCCAGCAGGGCTAAAGCCAAAATAAGCATGTCATTCATGCTTAAATTTGACACTTTACGCCTAGGTCTTAACAAAGACACGAATTACCTTACCCATTACAAAGATAGCTTCCCCAATTATCACCTCTAATATCATTAGCTCACAGACATTTACCTTCCCTCCCTCCCCCCATCTCCCTTCTGTTCTGAAATTTGATTTGTCCATTTCATACGTGTTCATTTTTTTGATTGTATCCTTTGGTATATATGGTCGTGCCAATTTTCTTCCACTATTTGATCTGAGGAAGTGGGTCTGGTCCATGAAAGCTCATTACCTGATAAACCATCTTGTTAAGCTTTAAAGTGCTACATAGTACTGTTTTTTGTTTCAGCTAAATCAGACTAACACGGCTACATTTCTATCACTATCAAATCCCCCCTCACTCTTCTCTTCTGCAGACTAAACAAACCCAAATCCCTCAGTCTCACCTCATAGGTCATGTGCTCCAACCCCATAATCATTTTGGTCACCCTCTGCTGGACCCTCTCCAATGCATCCACATCCTTTCAATAGTGAGGGGCCCAGAACTGGACACAATACTCCAGATGTTGCCTCACCAGAGCCGAATAAAGGAGAAACATCACTTCTCTAGATCTGCTGGCAATGTTCCTCCTAATGCACCCTAATATGCTATTAGCCTTCTTGGCTACAAAGGCACCCCGTTGACTCATATCCAGCTTCTCATCCGCTGTAACCCCCAGGTCCTTTTCTGCAGAGCTGATACTTAGCCAGTCGGTCCCCAGCCTGTAACAATGCTTGGGAATAACAGTGTTATTCTGAAAGAACACTGCTGTGTAGACATAGCCTGAGAGTGTTTGTAGATGATCACCCAGTAGGTACAGTCCTAGGCTATTGATTGAAAGTTGGTGGTTTGAAATCCCCTAAGGCAGGGCTATTCAATTTTGGAAACCGCAGGGGCCACAATGATACAGCACATGCTGAAGGCCATAACGTAAACATGGTTGCATATACATACAAATATATATGCAAATATATGTAAATAGCTTATTTCACACAATGTCCCAGCGCTCCCGGCACATCCTCCCTGGGGGCTATAAACACTTAAACACTGATGCCCTGTACCCATCTATTCCAGCCAGCCCATCTGCTTGCATCTTTCAATGCTCACCCCGCCAGGGAGACACCTCGCCATTGTGGAGCGTGTTCCATGTTCAAAGGATCCCACCCACGGGCCACAAACAAATGGGCCATGTGTTGAGTAGCCCTGCCCTAAGGGGTACCAGCTGCACGGCAGCACCACTGAGAACAAACGGAGCCAGTGTGGCCCGGACTTGCCCCACTTTCCCAACAACACGTGCTTAAAGAAACCATCCGCTTGTCTTTTCCAGCCTGGCACTGTGCGGCCTGACGCTAGCGCATGTGAGGCTTTAGCGGGTTAACACACCGACCATTCACCTCTGGAGACCAGCTGGCTCAAGGCATAAGAGAAACCGATCTACTGCTCTCAGCAGAGCCCTCACGGATGAGGACCATCTGGATATATTCTCATTCAATCAGTTCGCTGCCATTGCAGGGGCTTTGGGCATTAGTGCACCTCCCAATGCCTCCGGTTCCCCGCCAGAGGCACCAAATAGTTTTGTCTCAAGAAGGCTGTGATACGTTGGCCTAGTTCTGGTGGCGGGGGCTGGTGTGGAAGTCACTAGGTTGTGTGTAATGGCCTCTGAATGACAGGTGGTCCCTTCTGGCCTTAAACCCTAAGACTGTCAACATCATGAAACCATCAGTCAGACCGACACTGTCACTGCTCAGAGGGGGTGAACACCCGGCAAGGCATCAGCATGGCCCTGTGTGCGGGAAGCATGCACCTTTCTGCACCATGCGGAGGGGCTGGCCACACAGTGTGGTTCTCAGGGGTTACCTGCATCCTCTCGATGTCGCTGCGCGTGAAGAAGGCTAGGTAGCCTTCAGTCTGCCCAGCCAGCATGGCTGCCACGTACACCACCAGCAGAGAAGCCACCACCTTCCTGGAAACCATCACGGAGCTTGAGAAAGCCTGAGCAATAGAGGAGAGCGGAGGTAAGAACAGACTAGCAGGATGGCTGCTTTCTGGAGTTCCTGGCAGTTCAAGCAATGTCAGGACCAATGAACTATGCTCAGAAAGTATCCTAGGGCTGGAAGAGACCTCAGGAGTCATCGAGTCCAGCCCCCTGCCCAAAGCAGGACCAATCCCAACTAAATCAACCCAGCCAGGGCTTTGTCAAACTGGGACTTCAAAACCTCCAGGGATGGAAGATTCCACCACTTCCCTAGGGAACCCATCCCAGCGCTTCCCCACCCTCCAGGGAAATAGCTTTTCCTCATATCCAACCTAGACCTTCCCCACTGCAACTTGAGTACCCATGAGTTATAGTTCAGGTAGTTTACCCTTCCTGGGACAGAACTTGGGTTTTATAAACAATTTTCTTTGCCTTTCATTTCTGATCAGTACAGACTTCCTACTTCTTCTCCCAGCAGCTCTTATCACTGACATTAGGTGTTGTGTGAGTCCCAAATCCCTCGAGGGCCTGACCTCCAGGCAGTGGCCCAGTGCTAAGAAGGCTCCACAGCCCACAAGCACAACTCCCGCTTTCTGACAGGATTCATGTGGGCTACACTAGGGATGTTAAAATATGTGTATTTATGTAAATGTGTAACCGCTGGAGTTTTCAGCAGTTACACCTTTACACACGAGGGGAGGGGGAACAGCTCCCCAGGAATTGGTGTGCAGGGAGCAGGCTTTTAAGCTGGCTCTCTGTGAGCACCAGCTCCCATGGAGCTGCCTGTCCCCGCCCCTCCCCCCAGGAGCAGCGCGGAGGAGGGACAGACGGCTCCACGGGAGCTGGTACACGCGAGAAGCCGGTTTAAAAACTGGCTCCCCGTGTGTACTGGCTCCTGCCTGGCCCTCCCTTCCCTCCGTGCTGCTGCCTCTGTATCAGAGGCAGCAGTGCAGGGGGAGGGGCTGCATGTAACTGTGAAATTTAACTGAGGAGCTCAGGTTCATGGGTTTAACTGTGTACACATGTACACTATCACATCCCTGATCTACCCTCAGGCAACCAAGATGCCTACCTGGTGCAAAAGGCAATGTGCTCTCAGCAAGCGCTTGGGTAAAGATACATGGGCTGGCTCACATTGCTTTGCACAGCACAGAGCTGGGAAACATTATCGGCTGGGAAGCATTTCTCAGTTCATACAAAAATGAAAACTGCTTTGGAGATTGAACATTTTCGATTTGATGTTGCATTTGGGAGCACTCTCCTAGCAACTGCCGTGCTGCACCAAGGGAATAGGGAAGGACCCTTTCCCTCAGAGTTCCTGAACCCCATGTTGCTGAACAAAGCCGGCTTTTACCCTGGACTCCTCTTTGAGAACATTATGTATTACTGACCTAACATGTCGCCTCCAAAGATTTCCTCATGCTTTACTGCATTATCCCCATCTTATAAATGGGGAAACTGAGTCACGGAGCGGCAAAGTGACTTGCTCCTGGTTACTGTGTCAATGTCAGGACTGGGAACAGAAATCAGGGGTTATACTTTAAGGAGTGGGGCTCGGTGGTCCAAGATCCCATGTGCTAGCTCTCTCCCTGAGCTGAGAATATATAACCAACGGGTCCTAATTAACAGGCCCCCTCTTTACGCACTAGACAATGGCATCTCTTATGAATGGATCTGTTCCTAGGCAGTGACTTTCTATGCTTAAAACCGCAGTCTTACAGAGCGCTGAATGCCTATTCAGTTCTGCCAGTGTTATGCCTCCGTTACAGTGCGTATGAAAATCAAGACTTGCCCAAGGGACAATGCTTCAAGCTACCCGCACTGAGTTTCCATAGTGAGGGAAGTGTCATGATTTGGCAGAAAGCAATAACTTTAGTATAACTCTTTTATTACAATTATTTTTATTTTCCCTCAATAGACTTCAGGAGAAGAGGGAGCTCAAACCAACATGCTAGTGTCTCTAATCCTATAAGGGACCTATAAGACAGCAAGGGCAACTCCCACAGCTGGGCTGAGCCCTATAATAAATCTTGCTAGGTCCTACAGAGCTGCAAACATCATTTGCCATCCCAGCTCTACAGGAATCCAGTTTAAAAGGCTTTAAAAACCAGTTTCCAACCTGATTTAACAGCAATTTCACATCAGAGGGAGGATTTATGTACATAGTAAATCCCTTCTTTAAATATTAAAACATTCTGCCTTGAACACATTTAATGAAATTTGGTCCAAGTATGTAAATGCTTTACACCAGATTTTATCCTGATCCTTAATTATTTTTAAAAAGTGTCTGTTGGAGACATTACTAAAGGGACACTATCAGGTCAAATTTGGCTCCAGAATTAGATTTCATGTAAATATAAGCTTGTATGAACCAATAGAAACTAACAAGCATTCTTTCCACCTGATCATTTTGGCATTGTGCTACCCAGGAAAGCCAAGAGAAGGAGCCATCTCAGATACCGCTGAATTAAAATCACTAGAACTTATGTATCAGATCACAGTCTGTGCTGGTCTTGGGTCTGCATCTCCACTGTCATTGACACCTGTGCAAAATGCTATCAAAACGGAATGGCAAGACCAGTGATATAAACTGGCATCATTCCATTTACACCAGTGAAGGATCTGGCTCTGCAGTGGATTAGCCCGTATTGCAGTCACGGTGCACATGACTTTATGAGGTTTTGGGTAGCGGCAGTTCTGCCCCCCCTTGCAACAGGAACCAATCCCAGCTGCTAAAAACTCCCACTACAGACAATTCTATACTATCCTGCCCATATGGCGATGTTTCTTCCTGACCCTAGGCAGTTACCGGCGGGCGTATCAGACCTACTGATTGCATTGGGGGATTCTGCGGTAAAATCGGTTGCACCATATGGCCCTGTGACGTGTAGTGATCGCTTGGCTGTAACAATCAAAAAGGGACTGCCGATGTCTTTTCTTAGAACAGGCTTCTATCATGCATATGCCCCGCTGCACCTTAACTCTCAATCAGATCATTCTCATGTCACTCTCGTTATTCCGTAACATCAATAAACTACTGCCTTCCCTCCCACAAACACTCCAGTCACCTCCACCGACTACTCACTAGCTCTTTGTGAATCTGTTTTCTCTCTGCTCCTGCAGAAAAAGCTCTTGCTTTTTCACTTTATCCAGCCAGCCCACTGCATACCCCTTCCTTACTTTGTAAACAGGACATGTCTTCTGTATTTTAAGACTCCGGCTCGGCGCCTCTCTCTTGCTTGCTGTTGGTGTGTAACTTTCACAGGTAGCGTGTGAAAGAGAATGTGCCAAGGGGTAGGATTCCAAGCTGGACATCAGTACAGCTTGGAATTCTGGGCACTTTGAGCCTGATTCCACATTCCCGGCACCTTGTGTTGGCATTTCTGATAATGTCACTATTTTCATCTGGGATCTTTTCCCTCCATTTATCCTGGGTCTAAATGACAACACAATTCGCAGTGCATTGGGTCATCGGGCCCTTTATCTCCTGAGCACTGGCTCAGGACCAGTGAGGGACAGCAAAGAGTTAAAATGTAGACAAATGGTGCATCTTGTGTTCAGAGCATCACCATACAGCTCTTGGAGTCTCTGCGGCATATTCCATTGTCTGCTAAGTCTAACTGGCAGGTAATGAGAATGGAGTCAGTGTAATCAATGCTCATATAGAGAGAAAGTGCAGAAAGCACCTTCCTCCTGGTTTAAACAGTGGTGTTGATCCTCCTCATTAGACTCAAGGCATCTCTCGTGTTTAAAAGTTTCTGTGGAGCTGGAATCAACTAATTCTTGAAATGACAACTCCACGGGGGGCATGTTAGGCTAAACTGGCCCTTTCTATCTCTGGGAGCTTGGGAGGATGTATCTGGCTGGAGACTGAGAGCAGCAGCAGCCGCCTCATTAGAAACAAGAAATTAAACTTAGTAGGAAAATGGAGAAGAGAACATAGAACAGGAGAGAAATCCAAGAAGAGCAGCTTACCTGGGCATTTGGGCATTTCCAGGGGAGACAAGGGTGAGCACTAAGAGAGAGGAATCAGTGGACGGCAAATGATGTTGAAGAAAGGAAGAGAGGAAAGAGGCAAGGGGACAAGGCAGAATAATAATGATAGCCCCAAAATGGAAAGTCTCTTCCAGCTGAGAAGCTCAACCTGCTTTAAAATCGCCAGGGTGAATTTCACCATAAGAGATCTATGTGCCACTGAAGTCCTGCTTGTAATAGGGTTTTATCTATAGCAGCGAGGGGCGACCTAGGCTAATGAGTGCATTTTTGTGCAAAAAAACGGAAGAACAGAGGGGTTTTTGCACAATAGTTATTCCTCTTTCTACGAGGAATAACTCCTTTTTGCACAAGAGTTCTTGAGCAAAAAGGTGCGTGTGGATGGGCAACAGGGTTTTTTTGTGCAAAAACAGAAAAGAGGAAAAACCACAGGTGCCCTGGTGGCCACTCTGTGGGTAGCTATCAGCACTTCCTTTCGAGAGAGTGCCCACGCAGTGTGGACACTCTCTTGTGCAAAAGCGCATTACTTTTTCAATGCGCTTTTGCAGTGTGGATGCTCTCTTGCGCGAGAAGTTTTTGCGGAAGATCTCTTCCGCAAAAAGCTTCTTGCGCAAGAAGCCTGCAGTGTAGACATAGCCTCAGTGGGCTGCAAAACTATCATAAGCAAGAGAGTCTCCCAGGATGGGGTGGTTTTGTAAACTGCGCTTGTGTACCTAGAATATGCAGGTTGTGCCGACTGAACTGTAGCAGCGCTTACAATGCAGAGCGAGTACACGGCTCTCACGGTCAATGTTGTGTGCAATCAACACTTCCCATGCATTGGCTTTACACGTGCGTCTCACTTGAGTTACATTAGTAGGAAAAAAACCTAGGTGGACAGACACCAGCAGAACTGTGGGCAAAGTGAACACATACACATGTGCCCGCACATAGAATCACATGAGGGCCTTGGACTACCACTAATCTAACTTACCAGTCCTATGCAGGAACTAAAACTCCATGCCCACCCCCACTAAGAAGTGGG